AGTTTAAATCCAATAACAAAGCTAGATTATATTTTGAGTTAATTCTTAAAAGCATAAAGGTTATAAAATCTAAACTTAAAATTGTTTTATAGTTATTCAAAGGATCTTCCTGATATTTTGATTTAATTTAATTATCTGACTATCTCATACAACTATTGATTTTTGATTATATATATTTTAAATATCATATCCTTTAAAGTAGAATAATTTTAAAGATTATTTTAAAATAATATTATTACATTTATTTTAATTATCCTACAACTAATTCAATGTTACTTAATCTTTATAGTTATAAAAATATGTATTTAAACTAATATTGATTAATTTTAAGTTTTATTCATAAGATTTAGTATCTTCTTTTCTATTTTGTATGACTATGACTTTTCATATGTAAAACTAATCTACTGAGATCTAAAATATTTGATATTTATTTTCAATTAATTTATAAAACTACCATAAACTATTTTATATTTCAATTACTTACAATACATCTTTATTATTGTTATAAAAATTTGAGCTAATTTATTATATATTTTTAAATATTTAAAATTTTATTATTTCCCAAAATTATATTAAGAATCTTTAATCTTATATACCTATAGTTCTAAAGGAAATAAAATAATATCATAATTTTAAATAAAATAATGATTCCATATACTTATAATAATTAATTTATTTCATTTATATTATATTTCATATATCTCATATTTCTTCTTCTTTCCTCCCCAAAATATTAAATATTATCCATTTTTTGTAACTGTTCCATGTATGCTCCAATCTTGGCAATCTAATTCCTAAACAATTGATAATTATCCATCAATTTGCTCTTTGAGTAATACAATATTTTTCATATGTCTTAAGCATATCAAATTTTTATCCTTTATGTAGATTATTGGGAAAAATGGTAAATTTAAACATTTTTGAATAAAATTACTAAATTAAACTTTCTTCTCTACTATTTCTTGAAATTAACCATCTTTTTGTTCAAATACACATAAACTATTGGTTGAATAAGATACCCATATGAATTTATCTTCTTATAAAAATTTTACATGACTCCCTATATCTAATTTTGATTATTTAACAAATTAATATAAATACCATCTATTATTTGCATCTTTTTACCAAATTATTATTGATTTGTCTAATCCACATGTAACTAATAATCTTTCTGATTCATTTAAACTTAATGAGATGACTTAATCAGTATGTTTTTATAAAGAATAGAGAAATGTTAATTGATTATTAATAAAATCTATTCTCCATATATTAATCAAGAAATCTTAACTACCTGAAATTAATTAATCTTCATTTTATGTTAAGATTACACAATAGATACCTTTCTTATGCTCATTTTATGGTTTAGAACTTTACCATTAATTATAATCCAATTATTTCCATAATATAATTGATCCATCTTGTGATCCAGAAATAAAATAATTTTTAATTTTACTATAAACTAAACAATTAATAACTTTTTAATGTTCTGCAAGCATTTGAACTTTTTCAATCTTTCCATTATTGAAATTCCAAATTATAATTTTGTTTTCACAAGTTGAAACCATAATCTTTCCTGTTGAATCAAATACAATTTCATTACAAATTTCTTTTTATTCATTTGTATCATCAATAAATAATAATTGATTTGGACTTAATTGTTGATTTTATTTAATTAATTAGTTCAATATTTCCTTTAATTATTGATAATATTGAAATGATTTGAATTGTTCTAATTTAGAATTGACTTTTGTAATCCAACTTTGATTAAGTATTTTAATTTGATTTTAACATTTAATCAAATCATCTTTATTATTTTATTAATTGATTATTATATCTAATTCTTTGAAGAAACTATATTTTGAGTATTGAGATCCTGTTTATTTTAAACTTTATATCCAATCATTAGTGTTGCTAATTAATTGATCTAATTATTAAAGAACAATAGATTTTAAATCATTGATTTGAATTTAGAATGATTCAACTTATTTAATATTAGTTATAATTTGATTTTCTATGATATCTAACTATTATTATATATTTTCTTCAATCTTCTAAACAACTTTCTTAAATCCAACTGTCTTATTGTAGCTTGATTCAAAATTATTAATGCATTCCTAACACAAAAGTTTTTAATTTTATGTTAGCTTAGAATCCAAAATAACCATTTAGACAGGTAATTCATGTTTCATTTAACAATGAAGATTTTTTTCGTTTTCTATCATTTATGGTTTATACATTTTTAATTAAAGTATTAACATTAATCATTTATAAACATACTTCATAATATTTTTAGAAAAAAAACTACATAATGTTACTTGTTTATAATAAAATCAAGAAGAATGAATATTTTAATAAAAAGATATAAAAATGCTAGCTAATTAAAAAAAGATTCAATTACACATTAATTTTAAATATCAGAAAAATATTCCTAAATAACACTGATTACTATAATGAATCTAAATATTAAACATCAATAGTACCACAATAATTAAATAAATTTTGATGTATTTGCTAATCAGAAACTGAAATCTATAAATTTCACTGTTATAAATTAGCAAATAAAGAGTCATCTAATTGGATTATAGACAAAGTTGTTTGATTACGAAATCTAACAAAAGAAAATCGAAGAAAAATAATCCTATAAATTGTTTAATAATTAAAATAAAAAATTATTTAATGCAAGAATTTAAGTCCAAGGAACAAAATGTTATTTTAAAAAATCTTGAAATGAAACTGTTAAAAATTGTGATTTAAGTAAAAGAAAAATATTGATTGCGTCTTTAATATTTAAATTCCTTAATGACTATTAGCGTTTACATACTTTGAATAAAATTTCTTTGTATACTTATTAATCAAGCATATTTGCTTTACAATTGGATTATATTTAATAACGGAGGATATTGGGAAGATGATGTCCTATATAAAAATTATTGTTGGATTATTATCAACTTGTAAATATACCAAAACATAAGGTAAATTTTTTTAAAGGGAAAATTAAAGGAGAATTAGAATGAAAATGGAAAATTTAGAGAAATGTAAAATCTAAGAGTCTAATATTAATTAACAAAATGATATACCAAGTTAATTATTTCTAAGCCATTGTTATTTTTACTATATATCTAACAAAAGAAGATAATTAATTATATATTAAGTGTTACAAAAATAATTTTTCATAATATTTATTTTATTTAACACAAGTATATCCTTTTTACATATTTTCAATTTTAAGATTCAATTAAGGAAAATTGAATTTCATCAATCTATTTCATAATTAAGTTTATGTTTTTGTTTAATGATATGTTATAATTTTGAATTCTGTGTTGTCAAATAAAAAGAGTTGCATTTCATGAATTTTTTACTAATTCACGTAAAAAGCATTAAATAAAATGTGCAACATCAATATTTGTTAAGATAATTTTTGAAGCTTTTAAACAATGCAAATAATGAATTGAATACTGAATATAATTTGGTGACTATATAAGGTTCTAAATGACAATTTCATAATTTGAAAAATTTAAAACTATTCTAACTATAAATCATTATTAATTAATGTAAAATCTAAGTTCTGAATAATAGAATTTCGATAATAATTAATATACTTAAAATTATTTTTCAGAACACAAATGGGTTTATAAAGTCAAATTAAGTAAATCAAGAAAATATATGAAAAACTTCAATAATCTTCACAAATTTTAAAAAAAATCTGAATTTAAATATTTTTTTGTTCTATCGAAAATGCGAAAAGTTAATATGATGAAATATTCGTTTATTATTGGAATAAGTAAATCAATGTAAAAGGCGTTATACCAAAAGAAAGCTACTAAATTTATTTAGAATGTCAGTTAATAAAGATATATTTTATAATAAAATTATCAATAAATGAATTGTTTAATTTAAATTTGTAGTTAGACTTTTATAAATCTATTTATATAATTTCTAAATTTATGCTATTAGATTCAAAAATTTTACTTTAACTATAGATTAAGGNTGAATCTAAATATTAAACATCAATAGTACCACAATAATTAAATAAATTTTGATGTATTTGCTAATCAGAAACTGAAATCTATAAATTTCACTGTTATAAATTAGCAAATAAAGAGTCATCTAATTGGATTATAGACAAAGTTGTTTGATTACGAAATCTAACAAAAGAAAATCGAAGAAAAATAATCCTATAAATTGTTTAATAATTAAAATAAAAAATTATTTAATGCAAGAATTTAAGTCCAAGGAACAAAATGTTATTTTAAAAAATCTTGAAATGAAACTGTTAAAAATTGTGATTTAAGTAAAAGAAAAATATTGATTGCGTCTTTAATATTTAAATTCCTTAATGACTATTAGCGTTTACATACTTTGAATAAAATTTCTTTGTATACTTATTAATCAAGCATATTTGCTTTACAATTGGATTATATTTAATAACGGAGGATATTGGGAAGATGATGTCCTATATAAAAATTATTGTTGGATTATTATCAACTTGTAAATATACCAAAACATAAGGTAAATTTTTTTAAAGGGAAAATTAAAGGAGAATTAGAATGAAAATGGAAAATTTAGAGAAATGTAAAATCTAAGAGTCTAATATTAATTAACAAAATGATATACCAAGTTAATTATTTCTAAGCCATTGTTATTTTTACTATATATCTAACAAAAGAAGATAATTAATTATATATTAAGTGTTACAAAAATAATTTTTCATAATATTTATTTTATTTAACACAAGTATATCCTTTTTACATATTTTCAATTTTAAGATTCAATTAAGGAAAATTGAATTTCATCAATCTATTTCATAATTAAGTTTATGTTTTTGTTTAATGATATGTTATAATTTTGAATTCTGTGTTGTCAAATAAAAAGAGTTGCATTTCATGAATTTTTTACTAATTCACGTAAAAAGCATTAAATAAAATGTGCAACATCAATATTTGTTAAGATAATTTTTGAAGCTTTTAAACAATGCAAATAATGAATTGAATACTGAATATAATTTGGTGACTATATAAGGTTCTAAATGACAATTTCATAATTTGAAAAATTTAAAACTATTCTAACTATAAATCATTATTAATTAATGTAAAATCTAAGTTCTGAATAATAGAATTTCGATAATAATTAATATACTTAAAATTATTTTTCAGAACACAAATGGGTTTATAAAGTCAAATTAAGTAAATCAAGAAAATATATGAAAAACTTCAATAATCTTCACAAATTTTAAAAAAAATCTGAATTTAAATATTTTTTTGTTCTATCGAAAATGCGAAAAGTTAATATGATGAAATATTCGTTTATTATTGGAATAAGTAAATCAATGTAAAAGGCGTTATACCAAAAGAAAGCTACTAAATTTATTTAGAATGTCAGTTAATAAAGATATATTTTATAATAAAATTATCAATAAATGAATTGTTTAATTTAAATTTGTAGTTAGACTTTTATAAATCTATTTATATAATTTCTAAATTTATGCTATTAGATTCAAAAATTTTACTTTAACTATAGATTAAGGAAAATACCCAATTAAAAATATTGCAGGATTTATTGAAAAAAGAGCTAACTATAAATAATTCATCATATATATATATTTTGATTTACTCAAATATCGAAAATGCCATAATTTAATTCTTATAAATTTATTTATACTATTTAAGTAGTAATAATATAGCAGTCATTTTTTACTCTGAGCCCTTGGTTATTTTTGAAAATACTTAAGTTTGCTTAAATTAGCATTTTAGCTTTAAATCATATTGAATTTATGATATTGAAAATTTAAGAAACAATGTGCTGTTTGTCTCTCACATAGTGAGCGATATTTGATGCGATTATTTTCCTTATTATATCAAATTATAAAGAAGATTTTATTCTTTATTATTAAAAATAGGTATTTATTTTTTCAAATGCTCTACTGTTAAAATTTATGAAGTATTATCATTTTTTATTTGGCCTTAATTATTTTTTTTAATTAAGTTCTCATTTTCTATTTAATTATTTTTTCTCAAATTTTGATTTATATAATTCTCTTTTTTTAATTAAAATGCTTGTTTGATTCTATTTTTCTTAATTTTATTAAAATTCCTTAAAATATTGTTGATCTTTTTTAACTTAAAAGTGTAATTATTCTTTTTAAATCATATAATTTAATAATTGTTTTATATCTTTAGTTTTTATTACAATTTCTGTTTATCAATATAAAAATAAATGATTAAA